CTTTGACGTTTCTATACATTATATAGAACTTTTATGCAATATTGTTTGCGAGTTAGCGAGCAAGCTTGTTTCCCGTGAGAAGCCAGAGAGATGTCGTTACTGAGGACCTATGTTTTGAGATACTATATTTTCAAAAAAAACTTTTACAAAGTGTTACGTCTGTTTGTCTGTGATGGTGATACCAAATATTGAAAAAAAAAAATCATAAGTCTAGATTCTCCTCGACATTCTCTAAAACACTTGCTTTTCGGGAATATAGGTGCTTCCATTAATTTCATATTATAATATGTCTTAACGATCTTTATATTATTATCGTTTCAGTTGAAAACCGGAAAATCCCACACGCGCCAATTGAATTTACTCTCGTTCTGTACGTTAAACATAACGTCGGACATAGTGCGCTGTATTTGCACAATGATGCGCTATTCAGCGCACTATGTCCGACGTTATGTTTAACGTTCAGAACGAGGGTAAAATCGAATGTCGCGTGTGGGTTTTCCGGTGTCCAACTTGAACGACAATATATTTCCCAAAATAACCTTGGACTTGGCTACCCAACGCTAAGTTTATCAAGTATAGTTCACGTTGTGTAAAATAAACTTAAAATTGGATGAAAATTTCCTCCAGCGTTATTGCAAGCTACGGTGCCATAATTGTTTCGATCTTTGACAATAAGGCAAGTTGGTGTTATTCTGTATTTTTCAGTTTTAAGGATTATTTTAAAGATCGCTGTTAAATGCGCGGACAATCGATCCGCGCGAGCAATGATATTTTCCATGGGCACCAGAAAGGGGACAACTTGCATACAAGTGCGCGAGCAAATACAACATTATGAAATCTTGTGTGCAAGTTTGTTTGCGCGACACGAAAAAAAATACTACTCAAATTTCCGTTGAATTTACTCTAAACTGCAGAATGAGTAAACTGTTGTTGGAAAATCTAAAAAAAGATATTAGTGTCATTTAATCAAATTTGAGTAAACTTTAACTCATTCATTCCAGTAAAGCTCTTTTTGCCATTTTCTAGTAAACCGAACTCAAATTTGAGTATAATTTTGTGTCCATGTTAAGAAAAAATATTTTACGGGCTACAAATGGTGAGTCGACAACCTGGAAGGAGTGTTGTTCCAACAGCTCTGGTCCTCACAAGTTCCTACCTCACGCTTCCACGGGTCAACCGATGACAAAGACCGCCAGCAAAAGATACTGGTAGCGTAGCCTGGGCAATGTCACCACGATAAAAACATGGATCCGGATCGTGGTGATAGCAAAGTGAGTAGGTGCGACCCTCGAGCGTCTGTTCACCATGGAGGAGTATCACGTCAGCTACACCTAAGGTGGCAGCCCCACCAACATGATGTAGGTATCGCGACCCCAGTAATGAGTAGCCCAACCTAATGGAATCCCGTAAATTTCCCAGAAAGGAATTCAAACAGAACAAGAAGCTGCTGTAAAAATCACAAAAGTTGTGAAAGCTTTAAATTTTTTATTAAATAAAATACCAGTAATGAGTAGCCCAACCTAATGGAATCCCGTAAATTTCCCAGAAAGGAATTCAAACAGAACAAGAAGCTGCTGTAAAAATCACAACATTGGTGAAAGCTTTAATTTTTTTATTAAATAAAATACTCACACAGACACACACATTTTTTGACACATACAACAATCATTACTATCGAAAATCTGCCAGCAACGTTTACCGAACGTATCCTATGGCTTACCTTCCCCACCAACCAACCTCCAAACTCCTGTGACACTTATGAGAGGTCGTAGAGTTCTCTGCATCTCTCTTAAGTAAGTGTCCAACTGACAATCCTGCCCATCCCCACCAGTTTCAAGGACGTGGCCAGGACAGTTCTCGATTGTTGGAGATAGTGCTTCTTCCATCTAAGAGGCCGAGATCAATCCCAAATCTCGGATAAAACGGTAACGGATGGAGGTGGCAATACTCTCAAACAATAGTCTGGAACTTGTACCACTTACGAATTTGTGCAACTTGCTTAATGCTAATGCTAATGTTAAGAAAAAAAAATTTACGCTAATTTGAAACTACCCTAATTTGATAAGCATTTACTTTTTAGGAAAAAAGACAACATCATTAAATAAGGTAAAAAAACAACGCCATAGCTATCTTAATAAGTTAATAAATAGACATTATTCATCACCATGTGAGAAAATTGACTTTTTGCTAAATTGAGTCAAATTGAACTCAATTTTGATGTGCTCTCAACTTTTATCAATTTTGACTATTCTCATCGACCGTGCAACAGTTATGGAAATGTGGAACTTTGCAAAGGTATACTAAACACGGTTACCGCAAAATACCCAATAATGACTACAAAGTACAAAAATTAGTAGTAAGTATTCATTTATGAGTAAACAAATACTCATAAATGGGTAAAAAATTTACTCATTTAATGGGTAGTTCCAGTTTCCCTCGAAAATGCATACCTTGTAGTCAATATTGAGTATTTTATAGTAATTATTGAGTATTTTGCGGTTACCGTGCATGCTGCCTAAATCACATATTACACCTCAATGTCTGCAATGTACATTACACAAGCATAACAGAGCATACACGACCGTTGAAAGCTATTCAAAAATTAATAAAATTCAATGATTTTTGAAAAAAAAATTGATAACTCATTACGAAGTTTTAGTGAGTGACAAATAACTCAAAACTAAGTGAAACCGTATGAAAATTGATAATGCTTTAAACTAAATAGTGGATAAGTCTACTTTTAGTCGCCTAACCTGAGTTGACCTAACGCTTTTAGAGATTTGAGTAAAATTGTGTATGGGGGATTATAGCATGCTAACAATGTAAACGATAATCATTAAAAAAAATACGGAATAATCTGTGAAAAATATCGATAATCTCAAAAAGTGCACACATCTAAATTATGAGTAAGCAACGATTACCTAACATTCAGCAAAAAATTACAATATTATTAGTAAAACAGTGCCTATGGTAAGCAAAAAGTAAAAAAAAAATACCGATTATCTTCATCGACTTTCCCATTCGATGAGTTTGCTATTGCTTTTGCTAGCCAATACAACATATTACAACACTGTATTGGAAAAATGTCGGGAAATTGGTGAAGAGAATCGATCATCGCAGTTAGGCCCTTATGATTCTTGACATAGTCTATACTACTACTTCAGGCCTATTTCATTACACAGCTTTTCTAAATTTAATGTACAGTGCACAGTGGTCGAAAACGCAAAAAGCTTGTCTTCTACAATTTTTATAACATTTAATTCTAAGGTGCTTCTTATTATTTTGTATGTGTTATTGATATTGATATTGATCATTGATATCAAAAATTTAACTTTTTTTAAAGAAATAATGCATTTTTTTAAAGTTGTAGCTTAGCTTATTTCAAGCAACTTTGTAGAAAGAGAAGAGTTTGTATTTCTTAAATTGACCGGTTTAGAGTAATGTTCATAAATTAGGGTTAAGGTGACTTAAAACAAAACGTTTTATTTTGCTTTTCTTATTTAAAATTTCTCAGCAAAAGTGTCTTCAAATAACTTTTAGATCTTTTGAAGACGTAAATTTTTTGCCGTACATACCTTGTCGATATCTTTTGCCGAAAATAGAGGTTTGTTATTTTTTAAACAAGTATTAAATCAATTTGCATTTATTCATTTTTTTTACTACCATCAGTGTGCCATTTACAGCTCGTGTTCCAATTAACGTGTCAAAAACTTATATTTCTTTGAATTCTAATCATCTAGTGTAGCAGGTTTTGGCGGTACATATATAATATTCACCTCGGCAAATGCTTGGATCGTTGATCCAAGCTTCTGCACCGAGTCTATATAAACGTTGATTTGATGGTAGGAAAACAATCTCTTCGGTGGAACTACGCTTCCAGTAATCGAATGCCATCGACCATCCAGCAAGTGGGTCGACTGAGCGGTTGCGGTGAAAAATTCCTTTTTCGTGATGACACTAACCACAAAATTGCCGTTTTTCTGGATGAAAAATTCATACCCGGTTCCGAAATTCGTCGTCAAGCTGAATAAATGTCTGCGATAGTTTTGCAGATTGATGCCTTCCGCGTCGTTGAAATGTTCTACGTCTTTATCAAGTCGAACCCAAGCATGAAACACGAACCCATGGGCGGTATCCCATTTACGTATTTCGGGAATTGTAATGCCATTTGTGTTACCTTGGATATCCAGATACTCTATCGGGGTAATTCCAAGTGACAGCCTGTTGAGAAACCTTCATAATGACTTCCAGTAACTGTTTTCTATGCTCAAAGTTAGCCTCGTTCCTGAGCAACCGGAGATATTCGGGTGGATACTACACGGTGTTTCGCGAAAACCCATTGATGGGTATAAAAATACCCATTTCCGCTAAAAGTGCCCCTCCTCATTTAATGGGTAAACTATGGTTTACTCATAAATTGGTAAATGGGTGGTCTGTCAATAAATGGGTGTTTTTTCACCCATTTTCTTATATTGTGTTTACCGTAAAATGGGTGAAAAATACCCATTTTTACAAATGGAGAATGCAAGCGCTCGTTGATGTAAAAATGTTTCTAAAACATTGAAAATAAATGCAGGTGTTCCGCTCAAATTTTTCACGAAACATTATAATACAAATTATCAATTGTATTGACTTATCCGTAAGCCTCTCCAACGTTTTTGATTCTAACATTTTCCGGAGATCGTCTATTTTTGCCAAATATACTGCGGACAGTTAAGTAACTGTTTGCATTGAGGTTTGCATTCCCAACGAGCCGGTGACGGAAATGAGACGATAAAATTTCGAAGTGTTTTTTTCACCCATTAATGGGTAAAAAATATACCCATTATTCAGCCGTGAACTGATTCTTTAAATGGGTATTTTTTCACCCATTTTATGATTTCAAAATTCCCCCATTTTTTGACAGCTGCATACATGGTTTGAAAATGGGTATTTTTTTACCCATTAATGGGTTTTCACGAAACACCGTGTATGCTTGGCGAGTTCATCTATTAGTTTAAGCAAATTTATAGCGCATTTCGCTGACAATTTATGTTGATCTTCCAAGCAGTAATCCACGATACACTTAATCATCCGTTGCTCCGATATTGAATGTTTGCTTAAAAAAATAATGTCGATTTATTTGTTTGTTTTTTAAACAGGTTGAAGGGTTTTTTTACCTTTGAATGCTGGCCGAACACTTCTTCAGCAGTACGTCACTGGTGTAGTTTTGTTCCGCCTCAGCCATCACAGGTATCCACTCCACCAGCTTGGTAACGATTCGAGCGTTCAAACTATGGTATTCGCCTCCCTCGAAGGCAAAGTACAAACAATCGCATACCAAATCGTGAGACGGTCGCCCGAAAAGTTTCAATCCATCGAACAAAACGTTCACGTTGTTGGTATGCATTAGATTGTAGTGGATTTTTTCAGAACTGCTGCAAAGCTTATGGAAATTCCTGACCAGTGTTGAGCCCAATGTTTGATGATCGATATGCCAGATCTGTTGTGGAGATAAACGAAAAGCCAACAACTATCTTGAATGTTTGTGGGCGGCGAGTAAGTGCAACTCTTACCTTAACTCGTTCCGGGATCAGCACTAGACTGGGTATAAATTTTGCTTCGAACATGGCATTGCACAGTACATGCTTGTTGACGTGACACTCCGATAATAGTAGTCAGAGCCCCGACGTCAATGTAATTATCATCATTTGGCGACACCTCGAAACTTTCACCTCGAAATATAACCTCGGCGATCCTTTCTGCAGGAAATGTTCCGTTTCCAGTAAGGTGTGAACGGCTCCCAGATACAGTTGAAAAATAGTAAGTAAATCGATTTGGCGCTAAAATTAGAGCGATGGTAATTAGCTACACGATTGCAATGCAGTCGAAAACTACTGTACCTGTTCAGGACTAGATTTTTGCAATATGATTGCCATCATGGTGAAACATTGCAGTACGAGCTGGCGTAAGCTCGAATCGCTTTCCCGCTTGGACAAAATATCCATAACTATGGTAACCGTGGCGGGACTAATGGCACGCAATCCGTTATCCTGTTCACAGGATAAACAGGTATTAAATGTCGAAATAAGTTGTAACAATGGGTGACATGCATGTTAGGTACTAGGTTTAAGCGTCGTATGATGAGTGATTATGTTAATCAAAATATGAAAACACGCAACTTGAAAGAAGATAACATTCAAAGCAGAGAGACTCACCACATTAGCATTTCCGTCACCAGTAGGATAGTTTAGATGGTAAGAATTAATGTTCTGATCCGGTTCATTAATAAGAGCAACCTACAAATCGGTATGATTAAATTTGGAGACATTAACGATTACTATTACAATGAAAAGGTATTACAGTTACGATCTAGGCACTAGGTTTATAAAAACTCCATATAGATCTAAAGCCTTCTGAAGCAAAAACAATTTCCAATCAATGAAATTTAACACAAAAATCGCCATAGGTTTCAGGTAGGATTACCATAACAATAAATTGAAAAGGAGGACATTGCATTTGAACTCTGGAGAAAAAGCAGGACAATATCCATAGTTTTTATCACCAAACACATTTTTTTTTTTATTTTATTTTTAAAATATGCACGATATCACAAAATGTATGTTTTTCAGTAAGTATTTAATTAATGATAGAAGGTATTTACTAATAATTTGAATTTGTCGATTTGATGACCAAATATATACAAAAGATTTGGGTAGGTATATATAAAGCGTTTTACTGCCGCTCATCGCGAGTCGGTCCCATTTGCGTTGTAGTCAAAACTAAGTTTTTGAATGAAAGTGGTAGCTAATCACCCATAGTTTCATAATACTGGATAAACTCAAAAGCTTTGTCCTGGAAAAGTTTGAAAAACAGCCAAACGGGTGCATAAGAAGCAATGGTATGAACCTAACTTAATACGTGTTGTTCTCGGCTAGCTGATTTATGCCTGGACTTGCCATGAGCGGCATGTAATTGAAAATTGAGATATGCATGTATAAATAAGATCATTCAAACTTAATACACATTACAAATTTGACTAGAAATACAATGGAAACCACTTAATGGGACCATCGCAGTTGCTTTATGTAGCTTTTATGTTTTAACTATGTTCCTTAACTCGACTTGGCGAATGTCAAGCTGTAGATAGTGGATAAGTTTAAGTGTCAATCATTCCCTAGTTATGGGTTTTCTTGTTTGGGCACTTTTGCGACACAATGTACACTTCAAAATTGAAGAAAAACGGAGAATATAAACTTTTAATAAAATGTTTGAACTTTTTTTTTCACCCAATATTTATGTGATTTGTGCATAGTAAATGATTTTCTGAACTAAAAAATGTACAGAAGAAATAATCAAAAATATTTATGGAAAAAGTTTAAAAACATACGAACATAAGTTAAAAATCTAAAAAAATGTATTTTTTTTTTTGTTATTGAAGTTTTAACAGTTTTCTTTTTAACAAATATTTTTATTTCTTGTCAGTGTTTTTTTCTTCTGAAAAGGCACTCTAGATTCCCCCAACTTTGTTTCAGATGTCATTTTGATTAGATGAACTTATGGAAAATGAAAATCTTGGACACTTAAAAATTGACAAAAATCGTAGAATTATTTTTAAGTGTTCAAGGTTTTCAATACCTACTTCAGAATTTTTTATTTTTCATAAGCTCAAAAAAATTATTCCTAGTCGAACGTTCGACAGAGTAAGTTTGCTTTACGCTACTCTCTCGACGCCGCAAAAAGTTTTGTTTTTTTTCGGATTTCGATCGGAGTTTTTTTTATTCACCTTCTGGTGTGCAGTGCCACAGGCATACCGGCATATAGAGATAAGTTATTTTTTTTGTCTCGCCTAATTTTATTTTTTTTTTGGTTTTGAGTTTCTTTATATTTAAGTAATCCCCCTGTAGTGTTGAATTTCCTTTCCCATCCATTATTATTTTTATTATTATTCATTATCTTTTTAGTTTTTTTTTTTGCTTCTTCTTCTTCCTTCATCGCATTTCAAGCTTATTGCTCATCGCATATTAGCTTATTGCGTGCTCTCAACTTAGTGCTCAAGATGCACTTCCACAGTTATTAATTGAGAGCTTTCGATGCCTGTACCATTTTTGCATTAGTATAATTGTGTGGCAAGTACAATCATACTTTATGCCCAGGGAAGTCGAGAAATTTTCCAACTCGAAAAATTCCTAGACCAGACCGGGAATCGAACCCAGCCACCTCCAGCATGGTCTTGCTTTGTAGCTGCGCCTTTACCGACTGAGCCCCATATTTTATTTTTTATTAACACTTTCAGCAATTCACCCACAGTGTTGACTTCCTTTTCTTGTTGTTTCCTTCCCAATTTCAATCCATATATTTGACATTTGTGTCCGTTGCGGTGGTATCTTAAGTCACCGCAATGGATGATAAATATAAAGGCGGGGTCTGTCGCTTGACATCTCTGATGATGAGTCGATAAAGTCTCCCTCATTTGAAAAGCTTGATAGCTCTGAGGAAATGGGTACCCTCGAAGAGCACCTTGATCAAACCACCAGCAAGAGCACTGGAGCCTATCCAAAAGTGAAATGTTTACCATTGCCCCTTTCTCCTCCTACGCACCCTTCCCCTCCATCGCCGCCTTGTCCACCTGTGCCCCCTACTCCACTCGTTCCCCCGAAAATCTCAGCGACCCCCCGCCACAAGGCTTACTCTGATGACTCGAAAGGTCCGTGGGTTGTTTTTTTGCGGCCCAACCAAAAACCTTTGAATATTGCTCGGATTTCGAAGGATCTGACAAACAAATTTTCGGCCGTAACCGATATCTTTAGGGTGACACTAAACAAACTGCGCGTTACCGTTGATGACCTGAAGCAGGCAACCCGGATTGTTGCCTGTGAGCTTTTTTCGATCGAATATCGAGTCTACGTCCCCAGTTGTGACGTAGAAATTGAAGGAGTGGTCACCGAAGCGAGTCTGACTTGTGAGGATTTCCTGCAAGTCGGTTCGCTTGCATCATGTTTATTGAACAGTTAAATTTTTATGAATGGATAAATCATGTATCTTGACGAAGTTATCTCTAACGGATTATTTTGTATGGAGACTGTCATAAAGGCATTTTAGTAATTTGTGTAGCATATACAAAAAACTACATTGTTTGCCTCGATGGTGATGATGGATTTTTAGGTTTTTGATTTTGTATTAGTAATAGTAAAAATAGCTTTGAGTAGTCTACAATGGTTTGAGCCGCGTGCGCGGAATAAAGGTATAAATGACTAATACGTGGAAATTGTGGCAAAAGCCTTGAATTAGTTAAGGGTTGGCTGGAAATCGTTTCCTTGGATATAGTCCTGACACTGCGGAAGCTTAAACGTGTAAACCCCAGGTCACGTGTAAGTGGAAGTATTGTCGAGGATTATACTTGGACTCTTGATAACTTGATAACAGGACTTTTATATCTGTAATTGTAATAGCTCGATTTTGTTTGCAACCTGGTTAAAATGTTTATATTTAATTATCTTAAAGATAACTCGTCCAGCTCAAACCTTTGTAGGGGTAAGAGGTGGGACCATCATCATCATCATCATATATCCCGATATCCTGACCAGATAAAAAGTTACTGTCTTTGACAAAGTTGCTCAGGAGATCAAGGCCTTTTTGCTGATGGACAGTAGTTCAGAGTTTTCTCACTTAGTGGAGCTAGTATACATGTACACATCTCGCATATAAAATATCTCTAGATCCTGACCAGCTAGAAAGTTACTGTCTTCTGCAAGCTTGTTCAGGGGATCAAGTCTTTTTGGCTGGTAGACAGTTGTTCAGAATTTTCTCACCACGTGGCGTTAGTATACATGTACAATTCTTGCATATGCTATATCGAGCTTTCTCGAGAAGCTTTTCAATACGTGGCGTGCAATTCTCGCATATAAAATATCATGAGTTCCTGACTAGCTAGAAAATTACTGTCTTTGACAAAAACTAAATGACACGCAAGTTATAGTCAAATAATGTAAAAAATATCAAAAACATATATTTAGACATTTTCAAAATAAGCGAATATGAATATCAATTTTAAATTGGGAAAATTTAGGTGTGTTCCTTCAATATTATGGATTTTTCAAGGTGATTTTGCATCGGCGTAAGTGGGCTAAGAAAAATATATTTTGGATTTATTTTAGAAATGGGATTTCCATGCAGATTTGAGGATACATAAATTAGGGTGGCCCCTGTATGCTACTGATACATTTGTGGAAATACGGTATCTCTGATGGAAAACATTTTCTAAAAAGATCAGTATCGCTGAAACTTCATCAAATGAAAGTTTGGAGTCTGCCATTCATTTTAGGGTAAATTCAAAATGTCCTACCGAGGGGTCTAGAACAAATAAAATTAATTATTAAGAAACAATCTCACGAGCAAGAAGGCGTTCCCTTGTTGTTGTAAAGATAAATAAATGTAGTTAAAATGTTGATCTATTATCTTTCAGTTTTTACTACATTTACTTTTCAATCATATCACGTAACGTAACCGGTTGTTCTAAATTAGTTTGTCGACCATTATGTACCATGTGTTTACAGCCATCCCCCGATGAGCACGGTGGGTGGTGTCGTCCACCCAACGTTATTTCTCTGCTGTCTTCCAACCTATCTAGCTGATTTTTTGCTTTCAACCCTAATGTCAACCCTTTTACAAAAATATTAGTTTACTACCTGTCTGATGATGAAACAATTTTTGTAGTGCTTCCAACTTTTAAAATATACTTCTTCACATGACTCAGGAGAAGTTTGCCTACTTACTACTTTTTTTTTCTCTGAATGCACACGTATTAATGGAGATTCGTGGGTTGACATATGTTTCATCCACTGATATTCTTGCACACCCAAAAATCTGTACTAATACTTAGAAATTCAGATAAGCCTTTTACTACTTCCTGTGCACTATGGTTATGTGTAAAATATACTGTAAAATAATTTGTTTTGACTTGTTCTTTAAATTTGAATAATAAAAAATATTTCCATCTTTTAATTAAAATAATAAACAAATGGCACTTTTAGGGAGATTATTCAAGTAGCAGCTGCCATAAACACCTAACGGAAAGTTAAGTTAAAGTTCAGTTAAATATCATGTTATATTCTGTTTATAGTCACGAGTGCGTTTGTGTGCGTGTGTATTAGACCTGTTCATTTTAATTGAAATGTTCGGAATGTAACGGGTCAACCGTGATTACTGTTCGTCATGTTAATTTGAACTTTTGTGCAAATTTTCAGCAAAATCGGTGTTGATTTAGAGGTGCTTCTAGTTAATTTTATGTTTTCAAGGTAATTTACGGCTTATAATATTTGTATCTCGAGACTGAAACAACGAAAGCTGCTGTAACAACTTTCATAGCAAAGCTTAATGTGTTATCTACCAACTTTGTGGCCAAAGGTTGACTATTCGAAGTGATTTTATTGAATTTTGACTTAGTTTCATGCTCGAAGATATCTTAAAATGTGAAGAATTTTAAAGTATTTGTTCTACGAATTTTCCACCCGTATGATATAAAAATG